TATTTTTGTACAACGTCATCGCACCCTTCTGAAAAAATCTCGTTAAATTCAACCAGTATTCAACAAAAACATCATCAAAAAGCAGCACACATGACTATTATATGGAATATACGTCATTTAATGCTGAAATGTGTAGTAATGCCATTATTGTACATTACCTGGGGCAGTAATATCTATGTGTATATAAGTATAAGCAAATATCTGTGATGTATACATACCTTTACATAGTTAAATCAAGGCTTTTATTGACCCCAAACTTTATGGTATCCTACTAGAAGGGAAAATATTTACATATAACATAACAAGGAACGATCCCTTTTTATCTTTGCTCGGTGGCAAACGTCAACTTATATCTACTGCTTTTGAAATCTCATTAATTACATTCCACTCATAATTAACGTTTCAATAAGATATGTTGCTGGTGATGGGATTGCAATCGATGTATGAATGCTTGTTGCTTTGTTAGTTTGTTAATGCTTTGTTTATAAAAAATGACAAAAGAAAAAAAAATGCTATTATCCTTGAATCAGAATCTCTTAATTTACCACATAGGGCGATTGTTTTATGTTCATTTGTCTAGTACTTTTACGAAGCTGAACAAACATATCAGTTGTATATTTGTCATTTCCATTAAACTGCACAGAAACACCTTACGTCATCGGTAGTGGCTTTACTTTTTTATTTGCGATTTTACGTCATCACAACTGCCAGGGTCAAATGAAGACAACGTTCCTATATGATGGGGGCACTAACAAATGCCTTTCTAACGTCATCATACCCAGATATCGCCGCATGTCGCGTCATCCGGTTAGATTATACTTAAATAATGGTCAATGGAATAAGTCGAATAATACATATATATTTTTTCTGATATTGAAATATTCCTCATCGGCAAACCCCTATTTTGTTTCATTCTCCATCTGCTTTACATGAAGTGGCAGTGTAATTGTAATACAGAGTACCCTTGAGTAAGCCTGTAGTCACCGTAAGAAAGTTAATACGTTGTTGACAGATTTAAACCTAACTCTTATGTAATACATTAGGTGACTGACAGACGTAATAATTCTTTATTGTCTATCACATAAATTAGGTAGGAGAGGACAAAAATTACGAGCTTCCAGAACGGACGTGACATGTTCATCATTAAACGTTCATGAACATTAAAGGTGCATTTAACTTCATTTATTAACATTTGTCCAGCTAATTATTTCTTTTTCAGTCTGTTTCTTTGACGATAATGTCTCAATTTTTCAAAATATTTCATGATTGGATCATAAAGGGCACAAATGAAAGTCTCGTCAGGAATTCATACATAGAAATTACAATGGAATTATAGAATAAAATGAAGATATATTGGTTCAATAATGAAAATGAGGATGCAGGTGGTAGACAGTGTAGGTGAACTTTTTTACCTGTAATGTTTACCGTAACCTGCATGTCACGTTTTAATCATTCACACATATGTACTTGACTTCCGTTTGAAACCTCATGAAATATTGGGAATTATGAAATGTATTGAATTGTGGTATAACAGCACATACAAATCCGACTTTTCAATTTTATTTCAACCCATTTGAATTTTCCTCAATCGCCTACTAAATAACAACATCGTCATTGGCAAGTCCTAGAAAGACGAAATATGACTGTATGACACAGTTCAATGCATCATTTTAAAGGTGTTATTCACTGGTGCGTCGTTTTGCTACTTTCGTATAATCAAAACGTCATTATAAGTTACCAGTCAATATCTTTGAAGACGATTTCTACCCGTGATTGAACATATTATTGCAATCACAATGATCCAATGAATAGTGGTAGGTTTAAGTTGACTCCAATCGGATAGATATGGTTTTTAAGAAGAAGTTTTTGTTTTACTATTATCCCAAACAAAAAAGGAAATATGAGCATATTCTTAGCGATAAAGAATAAAAGATTATGAAGAATGTTTACAAGTTTCAAGTAGAGCTCCTTATTGAACCTCCGTCATAGAAGTCGGGTGTATCAGAACTTGCTATGATTGACAGGTCACGTGACGACCCTTCCAACGTTTACATTAGTAAGTATACGTATATAAACCCGTAGTTAAATTTACCTGATTTTTCTTCGCAGGTAACTCTGTGTGCATGGACGTTTAAAACTTCACCACATATTCGCTGTTAAGGTAAGTAATCCTTCTATCTCTCTTTAAGTGGCATATCTTATATTCAATATTTTCTAATTGATAAATGTGCAATATCCAAATAAACCAATTTATGTTTATTACTATTAACATTATCCGTAGAATTTTTAATATTGCGAAAACACGGTTTTTCAGACAAGATCGCAAATGTTCTTGTTCGGCATAGACATGGTAGATTTTACAAAAAATGCATTCTATAATCTTTATCATTGAATAGTCAAAATGTTGTCTACCTATCACTTTGAAAAATACACTGTCGTTTATGCACTTCATGGAATAGATTTATTTTGTATATACTTTTTCGCTCACAATGAACTGTCAACACAAATATAGCACTCATTTGTACCAAATGGATTTACATTTCAGGCAAAATTGACTGTTTAGCCTCTGGTCGTATGTAACCCATTATTGCTCTCATTTTCTGAGTCAATATCAGCCGAGTAGTATTGAGAAAAATTCATAACACAACATTTATGAAGTTAAGTCATTTGTAATGTAAGCATACTAATGTTATTTGTATGAACCGATTGTCATCATACATTAAATTCTAATCTAATCGTAGGTAATCAAACATTTACAGGCGACCTAAACAACTTTTACACGACACAGCAATTCCTTTAATAGAGGTAAAAGGTTTTGGTATTTTTTTTCTACATTTGAGAAGCTTTGGAATGAAATTTAGCTGAATATAACTAATACAACAATGTCGAATGCTGTAGCTGTGTAGCTGTTTTCGTCAAGGACAAATAATACTCCCGAGTAAATGATAGTATTATTCCCTGGAGAGGGGAGGTTATTGTTTTATCAAGCTGATAACCTACACTAATTTTTACATCCGAGGCCGATGTTATCTCTTGTTATGACTCCGCTTAAAACAGATAAAATAATAGGATGGTCGATAGACAAGAAAAACCCTTTTTTTTCACTCGCAAACTTCCGGTCTGTCAAACAAATGCGATTGTTGCGTTTAAGTCTCAATGCTGTCTTACTGACCAAATACAGCTGTACAGATTCCAATTACAATGCCATACTGTCAAAACCCTTTGTCGCTATTTGACCGAAATCTCATCCCCTGTTATGTCGGCTTGTCTTTGCAACAAATACTTATTTAATAGCAATAAACATGACAAAATCGTACTGTTAACTGTCCAAAGTCTAAAACATCACCGAAGGAACAATCAAGTAGGTGTGTATATGTCTTGGCCAATCAGATCACAGTAAACGGAAAGCTTGAGACACACCTCATCTTATGAATAGGTACACAAATAGTTTTATCATGGGGGATTACATACCTTTCAAGAGTCTCCATTCCATTGGATTCCTTTTCTTTAAGAAAGTTTCAAGTGTCGTTATAATTCAAATCTTTGAGGGTGCCATTTTATTACCGAATTCGATATAACGAACAGGCCTTATAAATTATTGCAATACTTAAATTGGTTTACGTGGCGCCATTGGCATTCTGAAGTTTCCAGGCAGATCTATCAATCAAGCCAGTGAAGTTTATCTCAGAAGGCTAAGGTCGTGACAGTACAAATATATAAACAGCTACTGAAAGGTATCTGCACAGACTGGTAACAATGTTGATATAAGATGTAATCTCGAGTTGAGTGTCTCTCCGCCATTCTAACCCGATTTTTGGATTCATGGGATAATAAAAATGCATTTACAAAGCATATTTACCACTCAGACTCAATAATGTTGCATGTATGTCGAAAACATATTTTTTGCTTACGGAGGGCGTCAACATCCTTTAAACAGCTACGGTCATAGGAAGGAGGTGTCGGCGGATGATTGCAATTCTTTCATAGCGGCATCACACTGAAATATCACAACTCTGACAGGGTTTATGACACCTCAGCCAGTCACATGTTACTGTCACATGTATATTATTCCTGAATGTCGAGATCAATTTGATGCCATAATGACATCACTGTGTATCACTGACCTTCCTAGAAGATAACCCATTTATTTATTGACAATGATTAGAGTGGTCGGGTGGCAAAGTGGTAACGCACGTACCTTTCACAAGGACGCATGTGTAATTAAAGCAACAATGCCAAAAAAAAAAAAAAAAAAATAAATAAATAAAAAAAATATCAACATTATCATTCATTGATCAAATTAGTATAACCATTTCGGGAATAAAAAGTTACACTGATGTGTTTGGATTATGATTCTGTCACCTTTAACTATGAATGAACATATGTATATAATATATTGATATAAATACTTCTATAATGTGGCCTTTGAACACCCAATAGACAAATTACTACGCAAAGTTCAATCCAACTAAAATCCAAAGCATTGTACAAGATAATCAGGAAATCCCATGGCGATGCAAATTTAGAAATAAATCGTAGAGTATGATAAATGGTTTCACATTAACTTACTATGAGTACAAGAGATAACCGACCAGCTGATCAAACTGACATACTCAAAGTAAGATCTTTCAACAATACAGTAAATAAATAGGCGAGATAGCTGAAAAAAAGACAAGATTTGTTAATGCTACCGTATTGTACTATTTTTTCAATTTGTCAGTAAATGGCGGATACCAATCATGTCGATTGTGTGTACCTTAAAAACTCAGTTGAACTGTCTGGAATCTAGCAATAATGAATTTGGTTTGACATGGGATCTGTTTGGTTTAATTAACGTTAATGCAATGAAATTTATTTCAGATTCAAATCAAATCAATGTAGAATGAATATCAAATATTATTTATTTACAGAAATTGATCATTATGGCGCAGGCTGAAATAGCGATTAGCGATCTTAGCAAAGGATATCAAAATGGTGCCAGCCCTAATCCGTGGAATCCGACTGATAGCCACAGAATGGACAAGAGGACAATCCTCAAAAACGTTGTAGTTGTCAGTTTTGGATTTTTGTTCCTGTTTACATCTTTCCAGTCGTTATCGAACTTGCAGAGTTCACTAAACAAGGAAGATGGACTTGGTACCGGAGGACTGGCTATTATTTATGGAGCTCTGGTAATATCGTGCATGTTCTTCCCGGCATTTATTGTTGCACACTTGGGCTGTAAATGGACTATTGCTCTCGCCATGATATGCTATATTGTGTACATGGCTGCTAATTTCTATGCTGTCTGGGGGACAATGGCTGTGGCTTCAGTGATTGTGGGGCTCGGTGCTGCTCCGTTGTGGTCTGCAAAGTGTACCTACTTAACACAAGCTGCCGTTTGGTATGCAAAACACACAGGTGCCACCGAAGATGACGTAATTAACAGGTTCTTCGGATTCTTCTTCATGGTTTTCCAGACAAGTGAGTATTTGTATGCTTTCATTTGCCTTTGTTTGAGGAACATTGTGGGGAAGTTTTATGATCGCCATAGTGATCTTGAGAAATATTCTAATTTTTTGTGTGACATGAATCTGGACGTATTTGATGATTGTTATTTTGCCTGTTGGTTCGGTTGTTGAATACCTTTCTCTCATTTGAGAACGTGATATTACTTACTTTGATTGACCAAGGTTAATATGTCGGTTGACGTCGATGAAGCATAAGGCGCTTACACTTCCGGAACACCTTGTCTTATTCCTGTATTTTTTGGAAATATTTCTTTGTTTCATATTTTGCCCTAGTTTTATGGAATCTCAGTTTGATTTATAATTATGTTGACATGTTGGTATTTTCATGATGTTTTTTAATTGTTGTACATGAAAAAAGACGCACACTTAATCTGTTTCACTTCAAATCGTCTTACTGCGAGAATGCCAATTTTCTTAATGTCATAGCAGTAATTAATATGTTTCGCATTGCTTCATTGCTCTATTATCTTATCTGCTACAATAAGATGGATGGTGAAGGTAAGAGATGCGGGCCTAAATATTAAAATAGGTTATAAGGAAAAAATCAAAACTATTAACAAATATTAGAATATAGTTGGAAATATGTACCTTATGTATTTGGACTGTATGGTCTTTTTCTGTTGTTGTGATAGATACGATTTCCTCAAATATTAATAATCGATAGCTTCCATATATAAATATGAACAATACATGTCCAGTTTTTTTTTACATAATTCACTTAACATAACGGTCTTAATAAATACTGAGTTAAGCTGTAGACTTGTACATAAAGGAGTTAACTCCCCATACCTCAATATGTTAAATCAATGTATGTTATATATCCGTATTTATACTATCTCTGTTGTCATCGTAATGAGAAGACTTAAATAGGCTAAGCCTGATGTCCAATTCTGTTCACATTTCATTTAACTCCATACTCTTTGATATAATAGTAAAACAGAATAACGCTTCTTAATACAAATTTAGAATAGATAGAGCCAACCAATGAATCAAACTTAATCAAATTAAAGAATAATTGACAATTTCAACACTAATTCAAGTGCTTGTGTACCTTCTAAATTACTATTCATCAAAATTAAGACGTAGATCGCCGATTTTTCATTTACTGTCATGTTTGGTAATAGAAATAACGGGGTGATATCTTCTTGTAGTGATTTTGCTTTTTGTTTTCCTTCTTCCTTCTGTGTTCTTTTGTGAATTTTCCATTGCTCGATAGAAACATTCTTGCATCCCCAACCTATAGTATTCACGTGTCTCAGTTCATTCGCTATTCAAGGCATTGTTCCCTATATGGCGAGTCTCGTGCAAGATGTTGTCAACTTACCAAGGTTCATATGAAGGTTGTCGTCCAGGAGCCATAAGACGCTTACGTTTCATCAAATTTGCATGCTTTCGTTTAAATGTCGTTATTTTCTGTTTTCCTTGATCCTGTGTTACGCTTACCATACTTATTATTTCATCTTTATATGATTCAATTGATTGCATTTTTGCTCTCCTTAGAGGAAATATCGAAATATTGTTTCCGATTGCAAGTGCTTTTTAACGGAAGGGATATTTCAACGACGGTTATGTCATCTTCATGATGCCATCTTACTACAAATAGTCATATAAATACTGACATGAAATTATTTAAATGGATATACAGTATCCATCATGGGCAGGGTTAAGTTGTCAACCTTGCTTAAAATATCTCCGAACAAATACACGACAGTGTCACTTTGATTTCGCAATTGGACGGCGACCTTCAGATATTAAATGAAAGAAAAGAATAGAATTATAAAGTGAAGACCGCACACCCAGCAGACTCTTGGACATTCAGATGTTCTCATTTGTAAACTAAAAAAATAATAAATACTCGCTGAAAAACCCTGATGTGCATGCGTACTCGAATATTAGTAGCAAGCTTCCGGTGACGATGTAAAATTCCCAGGAAAATCAGGTTTGAATAAAAAACAACATTGTAAGAATAATGCAAAAAGACAAAGTGAAAAGCACTTGTTTCTAACATTTCAGGGCGTGACTGTATATATCTGTGTATATAATGTCTTTTACTTTCCAGGTCAAGTATGGGGAAATTTAATTTCATCAACTGTCTTCAGTCAGCGCCCTGACAATATTACTCTTCCGACGCCTGAAGAACTAGAACGATGTGGGGCTTCATTTGACCCCGCATTACCCGTGAATAATTCTAACCTTGCCAGGCCACCAATTGAAAAGGTACGAAGGGAACATTTCATATCAAAATACAAACTGACATCGTCTTTGAAGTGGGTAGAGCAAAATGTGTAATTCTTTATGTATTAGAAGTCTCCATATCACATAAAACAAGCAAAATATCAAGTAAAATATCATAGTAAATGATCACCAATCTTAGTACTTAATCACGCAAAAATCATACCAGCTGAGTCTATAAGAAACACGATGGGCTCCATAAAGAATATACATAGATCAGGTGTTTTGTTTAAGCCACACAAGTAATGCCCTTTTTAGCTTTTATTTTGTTCCAAAATAGACATTATGGTTAATTTGTATCTTGAAAAACATTCAATATTATAGTATCAATTTCATTTCTAAAATGGCCCAATTCAAATGAGGTTTATTTTAATACTTTGGTTACCTCAGGTTTACATCGTCTGCGGAATATATATTGCCTGTGGTTGCGTGGCTTTTCTCATCATCGCCGGACTCCTGGATCCTATTACTTTGGACAAGGACAAAGATACATCCGAGAGGGACAGGAAGTTGTCCTCTGATCTGTTTATCGCAACCTTCCGTCATTGGTGGAATTCTCCTTACCAGAAGCTCTTGACGACCCTCACCATTTACAGTGGAATTGAACAGGCCTTCATTACTGGTGATTACACTAAGGTAATTATCTATTTTGTAACCAACGCCTGACTGTTTTCGTTTCAGATCTAATACATTCACTGCAGCATTTCGTATACAAACTTGTTTTGGAGCATTTGACGAAAGTCTCAGTGAGCTCTGTAAGTACCAAGATGTAATTTTATGTCAATCCTATGCTTTTGTGTATAACAAGAAATAAGCATTATTAACAAGAAATACCATTAATTCTTTATCACAAGATCTCAAATGATCTTCAAATGATAAAGTTGATAGTTATGCATCCTACCGATCATTTTCCTTGCCGATTTGCCTTTTACAAGGTTTTGCCAAATTCTGATTAAACATAATTGGGGAACCTCTATGCAGTTCAGTTCTCCTTCGTATTCTTGTTAATAGACAGTCCATTGTATTATTTCGGTTGGAGACTAAAATTGGGCTTCCTTCATAATATTTCGTCCTGCACTGAGGAGGAGGATTTGCCGCACCATTTGAAGATTTCCGATCTTGATCTTTGATTCCTGCTTGCTCTACATTCTAGTGTTTGGTTCAACTTAAAACATTTATTCGCATGACCCTAGGCTTTGTGGGGACGTTACACCATATATAAATATCATATAAATAGATAAAACTGATGATGTTTCTTTTCTTGCAGTCCTACATCAGCTGTACTCTTGGTATTTGGAATGTGGGCTATGTCATGATTTGTTACGGCGTTGTAGACGCTGCCTGCTCCTTCACATTTGGACGTCTTGTACAGTATGTTGGACATATCCCATTCTTTGTCTTAGGTATGTCACAAATAATATATTTGATATTATTATGATTGGATTTAATGCCTGGGATACGATATTGGGTGGGTTGGGTAATTGTTCTATGATATAAGATGGGAGATAGACATTTTTCCATTTAAAATCAGGAGAATCCTATCATAATTTAAACCCGTTTTGATCAAAATGGTTCTTACTCGTTACATTTAGTGCTTATGTATATTCAATAATTGAATGCTATCATTAACGGAACTCTAGTGTAGAATAAGTTTCCATCAATACTCAATAGGCGGATACAAGTTTACTGTGACATATCGCATGCCATGTATCACTGTCATGTATTTATAATTTTGAAGAAAACAACTTTATATTTCCTGACCTTCTTGGTGTATCTCTTTATTCTCATATTCATTTATGTATAGTTTAAGTCTTCTTTTGTCTGTGTATTTTGACACGTGTACTTTCTCTCCCAATCCAGCATTCTTTGTGCACGGCGGTACGTTGATAGCACTTTTGTTGTGGCAGCCTAACCCAGATCAAGAATATCTCTTCTACATCTTTGCTGCGTTATGGGGAATGGGAGATGCTGTTATACAGACACAGATCAACGGTAAGTTTGTCACACACTTCGATTACAAAATATGTTTGGTATGAATCCTTAAATAATGCACATTTAATATTTCAATCTGAACTACAGTATAACAGTCTCTTCGATGGCCCCTTGATGGAAGACACGATGATAACACCAGGCATTTCAGAGACTCCACTTTCAGTCGCCTTTCATGATCTTTCAGCTGAATACAGCTGAAAACCACCCCTACGGCAGAGGGTGTCCGTAATGAGTTGACCTTCATGATGAGAAGTGAGAAACAGCATTGCGATACAGATGTAATTTCTCGGTCTTCTGCATGGGTTGAAAAAAATGAAATAAAATTTGAATACATTATTGTGCAATAATTTGACAGTGATGACCTGAAAGGTAAGTTGATGGCTACGAGAGTCTGCGGATAGTTTTAGTCACTTCATAAATTTAGCAATAGCCGGAGTTGGAACCATTACGAATTTAGATCCCGTTTAGGTCGTATGACGTGTCACGATTAAAATCTAACAGGTGATGTGTGTTTTTAAAGTATTTGAACACGTGCATCAAGTAAGTACTCTATGTGTCAAGATTATCGCTGGCCGGTTCCATGCTTAGTAGAAATTTATATACGATATATAATCGCTAAGCAATTGGCAAAATAAACAATAATTATCTTCTCTAAATATCACTAAATTAAACATATGTTTTTCATATTTATATGATATGATTATAATACATTTTACTAAGCTTGAGGAAAACAAAATTCCATTGTAAGAAAGATTTCTAAATCTCGAAGCGGATCTGAGGACAAGATAAAAATTCTAAAAGTCGGTCATCACTTCTCCAAAAATGACGAAAAAAAAATTTAGGAAAAGTATATTTTTTGGACAACTGAAATATATCATGAAAGTACGATCAGCGGTATACCACAATGGGTAGAGTCTGTTGGCTTTGATACATTAGGGTGCTTTGTAAACACATACTGAACTTTTAATGGACAGACAAGACTTTTCTTAATTTACCCATGTATATACATCACTGAACTAAAAAAAATATCTAAACAATTTAAGTTCTAAATGTTCTTTGTAATATGTTTCTGGTAGAAAATCGTATTAAAAATACGATCAAATACAGATCTGGACTGCCATTGGTTTGGTTTATTCAAAACACACACCCCTGATTATCATTGACTCCATGTCGTGATATAAATCTGACCATCAAATCCAAAATCATAATGAAATACAATGTTGCGGTTTTCGTATTTACATAACGCACAAACGAACAACTTTTAGTTTTATGTTTTTGTTTCAGCACTATACGGGTTCATCTTTGCAAAGAACCCGGAAGCAGCGTTTGCAAATTATCGGCTGTGGGAATCCCTAGGTTTTATCCTAGCATTTAGTTACAGCAGTTATTTACATACCAGTCTCAAAATGTACATGACAATGGGCTGGCTTGTCTTTGGAATGGTGTTATATGCCGTTGTGGAATCAAAGCACAGAAAAAATAAGGAAAATATTGCATAGACGTCATCATCGTAAGATATTTTCAGAAATGTCTGCATGATGAGTTAACGAAAACACTTTGCATGCTTATATACATTTATGTTTTAATGAAATATACTTTACTAATGTTACTGTTAAAAATATATAAAGGATTTGGGAAAAAACAACATAATTGTAACAGATTGTACAAAAACAGCATATCTGAAAGGTAACTAACAAAAAAACTCACAATAGATTGTCAGAAGCGGCTTTGAAGAATTTGAAACGGAGTTTGAAACGTAGAAACGGACATTTCACGGGAAAAGGTATAATGATTGATGAATAAGGCAAATGTAAACCAACCTTACATCGGCACTCCTTTATCATCTTTTTTCTGTTTATTTTTTCAAAGCGAAAAAAGTTTTCTATTCGCTTTTCTATTTTGCATCTGAATACAATAAAATGACATCATTGATTTATCTATTTAAAGTACGAAACGAAATATGGTAACCGTTTCTGACTTCGACATGCAATAAACAGCAAAGTAGGTGGGCGTTTTTTAGCAGGTATGGGAGAAGGTAATACGATATCTGATATTATGTCTCTAACCATATGCTGAACTTGATTACTAACACCATTTGCATTTATAGATTCATTTTTACAAACCTATAAGGCATATTCAATAAAGATATTGATGAATTTTCTGAGAAAGTAGCAGCTAATGATGTGATATAGTACTTACTCCACGTAACATACTGGAAATGTGGTACATATGTTTATAATACTAAAGTGAATGGCTTTTGAGAGACGATGAGTGATTGTAACCACTTAAATACTACCTAGATACCTAGGCTTGAAATCAGATATATATCTATATGTTGTACACCGACAGCTCAATATTGCTTTCATTTTGTAAGATTGACCCATAAATTGATATAGTATCGTATGTTGTCCACTTATGTTGAATCCATCTCCTCCTTTCGTTCGTGTTGAATGAGTTATGGCATCCAATTCAAATATACCGGTTGAACCTAGTACGTCACTGTAACGCATATCAGATTATCGGACTACTTATACTATTCGTCAGTGTATGTGCAATATATTTAAATGTCGAATTATTGAAGGAATATGCAGGGATTGCGCCGCAACCCACGATATCAATATTACATAACATAGCGACAATCACGATTGGTTCATGACTAGACCTAAATAGGAAAGACTTGTCAACACGTCAGACAATGATAAGACTGGATCATGTAACTAACCCACATTATAGTTGTCAAGTAAACAGTCTACGGGTGGTAAACAAATTCATGTAACACTTGAACGATTTAATCAGAATGACTGTGCGCCACTATCCGGAAGCACATGGTCCGTTCACCTAACCGCTTCGAGCATAAATATTAAGACGAATAACCTATTTAACCTATTTTCCATGAAAATACGGTAAATACACTTAATTCCAATCTTACCAGAGCATTTGTAAGAAATTTACCTTGTTGTTAGAGTTGGCAACAGTTATTTTCATTTGTTTCCAATGACGACGGACGACTGACCAGAACGGAGAGAATTGGAAGCCCTCTATGTGTGAAACAATTAAGGGCGGTGCGTGCGTTGTCGCGATACAATTATAACTAAAGGTTGCCTCCCTTCTTTCAGCAGTCCCATATAATTTGATGGAGTTTTAGGCCGCGATTGGAATCAAACTTACTCCTACAATTACCACCACGGTTAATGAAACAGCAGAAATGTTTCGGAAATAGGTAAAAGAATCTTATTACCAAATCTGGTATTAAGTCAACTTAGGCTGTTATATACATCCCAAAATAACCAGGTGAAGTGGTTGGGACTTACCAATAATGGTAAAACAGATGAACCGGTATCGGTTACCAACAGAACAAGTATTGGTACAATTAACATAACTTTGACTCTTTGTGGTAATAATGGTGTTGAACCAAATGACCAAATATATTTCATTTACTGAATTGTGGAATTCAATTTACATAGTAGAATACATTTAGTAATAATGCTTTGGAATCCGGTATCGGTCACTGACAGCACCAGATAACTATAGAGAACAAAGTTACAATTTAAAATTGTTTTAAACCAAATAACCAATATTAGTTCCAAATAACTTTGACCAAAATGGTGGTAATTTTTTTCAGAAGTAAATTCAACTGGATATTCAAAGAAAACAAAAACCATAGTATGACTTTTACCAGAATTGAAAATCTTATAGATAAGAGATGCTTCGTTGCAATTATAGTAGACAAAGACAGGGTTTAAAAACAGAATTTCCAATAATTAACTGATAAATCAAACTTTACTGGAATACTGGGAAGACCATTGCTTGATTCATCAATGAAATAATGTTTTGGATTAATAAATAATTTTGAAATGCTTAAGAAATAACTAAGTCTGGTTTAGCTTTTCATCAAAATGCTTAGTCTTGGGAGAACTTATCATAACGATTTTTCTACAACCATCATTGATTTTTAACAATCAAGTGAAACTTAAGAATACACTTCAAAAGAAAAAATCGTTACATCATCGATCACGTACGTAATACCATCCACTAGCATATGTTTAAACACATTGCTTATATTGTGCAATATGTATGTAGTCTATGTAGAAGATGTTGTAAAATGTAATCAAGCTGTTTAATTTGGTATGTAAGAGTGGTATGTAGAAGTTAAAGTAAAACATAGCAGTTCATTGTTAAAAGGACGTGCCTAAAGAATGTAATAGCTTATATTTCCTGTCTTTTTGGTTTTTATTGTGATGTATTACCTAAGCACTGCATTTTCACATTAACAATTACGTCATCAGTATGTTTTAACAATGCATGCTGGTAGGTATGATGGCGATATGATCACAAGATGTACATTGTAACAAGCTTTGGTGACCGGGTATTAAACAAAACGAATTTCATACTTGCTCTCATTACGTCATTTCCTCCGCTTTATGAATCAAGCCAATTAACCCCAACATTGCTTGGTGGTGCTTGTATTCATATCGTAATGTTTAATCATCAGTAAGATTAACAATTAAACAAATCTGTTGTAGAATTCAATGCGGTAAACGATTCATTTTCTCGAAAAACAAATACATGTTTTCATGATAGTTATTTCAAGGGTATACATGTTTGACCGGATATTGAATTAACTTGTTTTTATACGCGTTTACTCTTGAATGGTTTCTGTAACATTTAATGGAAGGTAAAGAACTAATATATATGAAACAGTGACTGACATTATCACTTATCACATCTGTCGATAGCCGATATTAAAATACTTTGCTGATAAAAGATAGAAAACATTTTGATAAATTGATAACTATTTCTTTTTAATATTTCAGCTTTGTACGGATACCTCTTTACGAAAAGCACAGAAGCTGGTTTCGCAAATTATCGTCTTTGGGAATCATTTGGATTTATCATGGCTTTCGGATACAGCGCTCATCTCCAGACAAAAATCAAAATGTACGTAGCGATGGCATGGCTCGTCATAGGAATGCTTATGTACAGTTTTGTTGAATTCGGTGACAGGCGTGCGAAAAAATATAGCCATGACATTAAGACTAAGTTGTGAGATATCTGATCGACCGTTATGCTCATTGCTTTCATGAATAACCGGTGGACACTTAACAGCAAATCAACGGACAGAATAATAACTACTGACCTTTTCCGAAATAAAAAAGTCCATACATATTATCTAAAAGGTTTTGTGACGCTGATGAGTCTTTCCTCAGCGATTTTTTGTTATATACATTCCTGTGTATATCGAAAATAGTTATAAGACTAGATTATATTTAGTTATTACTAAATATTCAGTGTTCTGTCTTAGTTATCACGTTATTGTACTTGTGTCGGGTTATTTTATTATAAAGGTTTTAATGTACCAGTTCTTACGCCAAGTCTCAATATTTGTTGCGGTGCCAATGAAATAGTACCATGTTTACCATGTTTAATAACGTCTTAGTCTGCAGTCATCTCTTCAACAAAAAAGTGACAAACTCGAGAACAACCGAACCAAGACTTCAATTTTTCATTAGTGTTCAATTGGAGACTAATGTAGTACGTCTATTTTCATTTTATTAAACACAATTCTGATTTATGTTATGGAACAGAACCATTGAAAATACATATTTCCTGTGTATAATCACAAACATACTACTGTCTGACGAGGGTTGTATATACTGTACACGAACATGAATGTTATACAATGTGATACCAAAACATTATCATCAGTAATCTTTGATCTTAAATTGGCAAGTCTCATTGATATGAAATATCGGATTTGATTATCTGTTGTGTCAGATTTTCGAGGAACGAAGTTCATCATAATATATAAAAAACTATATGTTCTGCACTTAGAATAGGAACATACATATTGCGTTTGTAAATCAGCATCTATATTCACTAACATGAGTTATAATATATGTAATATTATGTTATCAAACATGCTTACAAGTTCCAATCAATGTGACCTCAAAATGATTTTATCGATCGCTTGGAGTTTCAAATATCTGAGATGTTGTTACAAACTTAGGGATGACAACTAAATCAATGTGTTAATACCGGTTGACTACCATACAATAATAATAAATCATAAAAAACAACGGAAATATCATATGCACTGTATGTAAATTTTATTCCAATGCAGGTCATGGGAAAATCCAGAACTAAAAGAGAGTACCTTCTGCCAAACTTTGGTTTGTTGATTTCCCCCTATTTTATGACTTCCGTTGACAAAAACAAAACAAAACAAAAAAAACGTATGAACTGTCTTTTTTACAAAATAAAATATATCGCCATTTTCTCTCCAACATATGAACTGAAATATCAGATATGACTAACATCTTGTACTATTCATTGAGTCATTGATATATGCAAAAGAGCTTCGGATCAATGCTTCCTTGCCATTAGCCATTGTAACTTTGTTCGCATTTGACAACTGTAATATGTCGTAATTTTTGTACCGAGTATTAAATAAAACACGGGAACAAATAATTATCAAATGTATGTTATCATATTTCTATTGCAACAAATAGTTTTCTGCAAGTAATATTATACTGCAGGTAAAGATGAACCACTTGATGTTCTAGATACTAATATTTACAGGAAGCAAAAGTCATTTTGAACGTTTGAAAATGCTTTTTGATATGTTTTAGGCATTATTGAAATTTGAATTTTTGCCAATGTACCTATGGTTCTTAACATTATTACTTTCTTAAAGGCCTGTCGACACTTAAGTAGTCATTATGGCCATCAACCGGTGAAAGACAGCGATCCAAAAAGAAATAACATAAAACAAACTAAAGGGTGAAAGACAAATGATAAAAACTTAAAGGTTATGTTATAACAAGAGATTAAAACGATAAGTTATATTCTATAATACAGCCCAACATCTTTCAGATAACTGAAAATTTTAGAAATCTCAACGATTTCAAAAAGGGTATTTAGACTGGTAACGTTACGATAAAAAAAATCTCGGTTGACAGAAGGTCAATGTAGTCCAATAAAAATCTTTAACGGTGAATGGTTCATCGCCCTATGGTGTTTGATACATTCAACTGTGTGTGTATGTTATTTTTGTTTGCTTGGTTCCTTTTAGAACGTTATCAACTGACGTAGGAACAAGGATACAACATGACATTTCAACATGTAACCAGTCATTACAACTACCGTAAGGGTGGGCGCCAAACAGCAAAGTGCAGCAAACACCTATTCCATATAGATCGTTTAATACAACCTGTATCATTTTCAATTTCACTGGCGTATATTTGTTAACTTACACTGTATAACAGGATCTAAAATGGGTTTTAATTTCAGATGCATCTAAGCCATAACGGTCATCTGACAACCAAATTATTAACTCCAGAAACGATTACATTCCGACGTGATGTTTCATACGAAATAAATTCGGCATGGGCATTTAAAATATACTAGCATTGAAAAACAAAATTTCAGCTAAATTTCCATTTTGGGGCCCCGCCCTCCAGTCCCCTGTTGTCGAATAAACTGTGAATTTAGGAGGTGAGTGGCATCTCCAAGAGATGAGTCCAACTTAATGATAGAAATATCTACATGCGTATGGCAAAGTAGTTTCAAGGAAATCGCCTCGGGACCCCTCCCTTCTGTCGTTTGTGCTGGAATCAATCTCTCAATTAAAAAATGATTGATATTGACAAGTGATATATCATTGGTTGAAATATGACAGGATTTTTAAGTCTAAATGTGGTGTACAAAATCTAACAATTGCAGCCATTTTGATGTACCATTGTCGACTCGTACCGTAATCTCTTATGTCTATATCAAAACACCACAATCAATTTTTGACAGGCGCAGCAACTTAAAAAAGCTCCAGCGTATACAACGTTAGTGACATATGCAAAAATACTATATGACCAAATGGTTTGGTCAGTTTTTTTCTTTATATTCATTAACGTCTCATCAACATCTAGGACCAATTCAGGGCGGCCTTCCGGTGTATGCGAGACGTAAGCATGTATTGAATAGTGTGTTTTGGAGGCTGCGATATGTTTCTGCATATCTCTGAAATCACGTTGAACTGAAGACGACTTCGTAGTGCTATCACAGTGATGTTTGCCGCCGAATGTCCCCAGAACATCGCACCTAGTCACATATTTACTTACAACGTGTAGATCAATCCTAAAATAATGCAGAACGTCACACAGGAGTAGAAACTGACGCTTTTAAATACTCTCCACCAGAATACATAACCCAATCCCATTAGTGAGATCAAATAAATCGGCGTTCGAGTTACTGACAGAATTTCTTAACTGTCATAAAGATATATTAATTTTTCTGTCTCCATTAACTTAAAGAAAATAAGTGCACTGGTGTTCTGCATCTCATGGATGACATTGTGGGAATCAGACAAGATGGATTATTCTATTCAGACATCATTTTGGGAAAAAGCTGGAAACATATATTTGATTTTTTGCCAGTGCAACATTGAAAAGGTATATTATGACAAGAGGAAGTTGATCAGTATTATTATTGATGTAAGATTTAATTGAATAATAAACATGAACAGAGCACATATTGTTAAAACTTAAATATATATATATATTTTGATGAAGGTGACGACGATTTTACATGTGGAAATAAACCAAATTCTCTGTATATAAAACATAATGACTCTCAAACTGGTAATCATGCATACTGCTAACGTTGGATTGACTCTAGAATGTTACTCTCTCGTTCTGTAAAATTTGCCCACACTGAATCTGCATCTTCTAAAATTGGACAAATGAATGTAATGTAAATACTTTCAATAAGAGAAGAAGATTGTAATTTATATAAGTATTTTGATTTTACTTCACAGAATAAAATAATTACTGGGTTTTGTATGGTTCTAAATTTGTCTAATTTCATTTGTCATTCATATTTTATCATTAAGTGTTGCTGTTTTATTAGGGACAAATTGATATACAGCAGTTACTATCGTGTTATTTAGAATAGTATTAATTGGAGCTTTATAGTCTTGAGTAAACTTTGGTCAGGATATCAGAAGCTGGGTCCAAATTTTTATAAAGAATCTATGTCTGCAGTTGATCAAGGGGACAATCTTTCATCTTTCTTCAAAGTGAAGAGGGACTACCGTCAAGGGGCTCAATCGCTCCGTATATTTCCATATGGTATGCTGAGATACTTGCAATTAAACCTGGAAATAATAAAGGTATAAAGGGTATAAAGGTAGACAACTCTCCACTATTGCTGTATTAATGCGCTGATTATACTACTCTTTTCTTAGATGGACCTTTTAAAGAACCTTTAGCTTAACATGACAAATTTGCAAAACATTCTGGCCTGAAAATAAATAAAAGGAAGACACAAGTCATATGGATAGGAGACAAGAAATATTGAAATATAGTAAGTAAACATATTTCCCAGAAATGAACTTGCAGTGGGGAAGATGTTTAACACTTATGAAGATAGGGATATTCTTGCTGTTCTAACTGTGGTTTTGAATATTAAGCAACTGTACAACAGAATTGTAAAAATTTATTCTGGAAAGACGTTCTTCAGTTTTAGCAAACTTTGTCTATCATGCAAAATAAGTTAAATGGAAAAGTAAAGGTGCTAAAACACCTATTTGTTATAACAGACATTTTAAGAGAGGTACAAGGAGTATTATTTATATAGACTTATTCAATAAAGGTGTTGTAATTATAAATGACTTAAAACAGAACGCGTTTCTAACCATTTTAACTCCTTTAATGATTTTTGTTTCAAAACTTCCAAATTTATACAGACTTCCTTACATACTAAGGTGTTGTGTTTATTATGATCAAATACATTCCCAACATTCCCTTAATGCAGAGATAAATTTCCAATATATACCTTAGAACTTTGAAGCATGATAGGGGTATAAAGGATTTCTATAATAAACTTTGTAAAAATAGCTCTACATTCACAAGGAGAAACAAATGGAATGAAGTTTTTGAATTGATGAAACCTGGAAATTAATATACATTACACCTGTTTAAGTAACTAAAGACACAAAAGTGCAATGGCTGCAGTATTGAATTAATCATTACATATTGACGACAAATTCACATC